GAAGGAAGGAAGGAAGGAAGGAAGGAAGGAAGGAAGGAAGGAAGGAAAGAAGGAAAGAAGGAAGGGAATGAAATAAACAGAATTAGATACATAGATAAAATCAATATAGATTAGATATAGAATTAAATAGATAAGACAAACAGACATAGATATACAGACAGACAGACAGAACTAGGCAGAGGGAATGAACAGGAAGCGGCACTGCAGTGAGAACACCACAGCGCATGTTCTCACTAACATGCCTCATTCAGTGTTTATCTCTGAGACGTGAAAGCTGAACCCACTGCTTTTTCAAAGCTCCTCCCAGGCCCCGCCCACTGCAGCAGTCTCAAGTTTTCTTATGAACTGCATTAAACTGGGAGAAAGAAAATGTCACGAACCGTGAAAGACAATAAAAGTTGGGTCACCTTATCTTCTTGAGCCTATTATCACCTAAATTTCAAATCATATATGATGAGCACAGGTGTCATGCTGAGTCAAGATTTAAGACAAGGACATTCTGTAAAACACTTTTTCTGAAAGACTACACACAAACCTCAGGAGCTGGAGAGCGCCTTGGGATCGGGATGCATACAGCATCCCTTTCTAAAAGAAACTGTGAGCAACAGTAAAATCCAAATCTATACTTCATTATTTACACCATACCCAAACACAACTGTTTTCTAAAATCCATGACAAACAGCACCTGACCTGGCCTTCTGTGCAGCTGTGGTTCACGGGGACACAGTGATCATTGCACCAGTGGCAGCCATTGGTATTGGCCGTGCAGCTGTAACAATCCGTGTGCTGGTCACATCTGTCATGGTCAAGAGCTAGGAAGAGAGGAAAAACCCATCAGCTATGTGGAAGCCCTGTTGCACAGAACCTGAGACAGATAAGCTTCTAACGGTTGGGAAACAAAATGTAGGGTCAAACTGAAAGAAAAAAGCATTGCCATGTTTAGGTTAAAATAAAACAGATATGGCAGACAATCTGAAAAGCTGTTTTGTAACTGTATCCACAAAGTAGCCAGAAAGCGAAAAGCAAGTATCTATTAACTGTATAGCAATTCTGAGATATAAGGGAAGATCTGGGGCTTTGAATGCTTTTATTCCCAGGACAAACCCCAACTAGCAACAGAATTAACAGCAGAAGCTGTGCAGAAGCCAAAGAAAGTAATGTGAGAGACCAAGACATCCATCCTTGCTACAAATGCAAGGCATATCTGGGTGCAGGAATATCCAGTGACCCACAAGCTCACAGGAGGCACTCACTAAGCTGCACTCTACATACATGTGAATTCGAGACTGTGGGTTTCAGAACTTCCACACTTGGTAGACCTGACATAATTCCCATTAATCCCCAAACAAGAAGCTACAAAGCCATGTTGCCCCATCTGTTAAACAATCTCATGGGCATGACACACAGAGGCAGGAAGAGAGGCCACCGGCCTAATGGCACAAAAACTCCCCTGCACCTCGGCTGCTTTTCCAGCCAAGTTTATTTTAATAGGATTAGGTCTCCCCAGAAAGTAAGATAATACTAACGGGTTCATATTGAACCTCCGAAGATAGCATTATTTCCAACACACTATATATTTAAGCTGAATTTTAAACTTTGGTCATTCTACTGATTCTAACTGTTTAGGAAGAATTATGAATCCCACCAGGTTCTAATAATCTGTTTTCAATAAATGAACCAAAATTCTAATGGACAGTACAGCCGTCCCTACACAGCTTTATTTGGCACATCAGAAAAACAAATGCAGTCTCTATCCAATACAGCTCTCAAGTTAACTGCAACATCAATCTTATTAGATACAATGCAGTTTTATACTTTAAATTGATTGGCATGGACAAGCACCTTGGAGTATTCATCTTACTTTTCAAGGATTTTTATACGTTACTTCACTGAGTTGGTGAAGTGGTAATCAAAGCAACCACTAAACAAGTAGCTAAGGAAACAGAAATAACAAGGACAGCTTAGAGGCTCTCGAAGCAGGGACTGGAGTGTGTCTGTTTGCTGCATCCAGCTACAGGGGCGAGAATAGTACAGCAGCTCTACTGTTGTATGCAAGCACAATTTGCTATATGTGATCCTCCCATTCTTATCCTTAGCATTAGACCTTCATCATCAATAAAGCACCCAACAGCTACATACAGCTTTTTATTGTTGACGGTTCTGGCTTTTGGGACAAGGTCTCACGACACAGACAGGCTGGCCTAGAACTGCCTGTGGAATTCAGGCTTGTGAACTCACCAGCCTCTTGTCTCAGTCTTTGAGCATTTGGACTATAGCATGTGCCACCCTACATGTGCTTTTAGAGTAAAACTAAAGACAGTGAAGCAATCGGCCCCTTAGTTACACTCGGCACATTCCAAATCTCTGAGAGCACCAGATTGCTAGTGGTACTGTACTTAACCAAGGTCCCAGCATTCAGGAGGCTGAGGGAGATAGATCACAAGAAGTGTGAGGCTACTTTGAGCTATGCAGCAAAACCCTGTCTCATAAAACCAAAATGAAAACAAACTTCCACTAAGCACCATGGCCTCAGAACACCTGCACCCAGGCCTGGAGTTGTTACCCAAAGCCTGTGTAATGCTGGAAGGTTTATCACCTGCCAACAGCTTCCAGGAGCCACATGACTCCCACCCAAAGACCTTGTACACATGACTAAGAAATGACTAGAGAAGAAGGTGAACACAAAAGTGCACAGATACTAAGTCCCTTCACAATTCAGGTAAAATTAGATCTTTAAATCCTAAGTAGAGAAAAAAACATACTTCTTTTGGAAAAACATTCTGATTTTAACTTTTCTGCTTGTTCTTCAGTTGCCAACTCCCAGGAGGTACACCGAGATGACCCTGTGTCCCACAGACACCGGATGCCAGGTCCTGCTGCCACACAAGCAGCCTCACTGCGGTGTGCATCACACTGTTCCGAGGTAAAGACGAGGACGTCACTGAGGAGGAGGCTGTTGAAGCCACCGAACACATACATGGAACTGAGGGGAAAGAGAGAAGGAATTTACTGAAAACACACACAACAGATGCATGACATGGGGCTGGCTTGGGTTGCTGGTTTTGAAATGTTTGAGATAGCTTTCTCTACATAGCCCTTGCTGGTTGTGTAGCCTGCATGGCCTCCTCTTGCGGCAGTCCTCTGCTCCTGCCTCACAACAAACTTCTGACTGTCAATCTTTGGAAAAATTCCAAGTATTGAAAGTCCTCTGAGATATCTAGTGCGATGGGACGGCAGGTAACCCCTGGAACCATGTGAAAGTGGAAGGAGACAAGTGACCCACAAAGTTGTCCTGCGACTTCCACACATGTGCTGCAGCGCCCCCATCACATAACCAATAAATACACAGATGGATGAGTTTAAGTGCTCTGAGATGTTATTTCAAGTCTCAAAAACCGCTACTATCCTCTAGTCTCTCAAATTCCACCTTCCATCCTGATGGGCGAGCACTCAGGATAGTTTCAATAATGTACCTGTAAATGTGCCCATGGAAAATTAGTACACAGGCAAGTGGCATTTTAAAAACATTCATTTTATCTTAAATTATATGTATGCGTGTGTCTGATGCGGGTATGTGCACATGTGTATGGGTGCCCACGGAGGCCAGAAGGTGTTATAGTCCCTAAAGCTGGAGTGACATCTTTTGTTAGTAGAGAAAAGGTTCTTGGGGCTGAAGGTATGACTCAGAAGGTCGAAGAGCTTGCTGCTCTTCCAAAGGACAGAGTGTGGCTCCCATAACAACAGGCGGCTCACAAGCCCCTCTCAGTCCAGCTTCAGGGGACCTCCCTCCCTCCCCTGTCCTCGGTGGGGACCCACATGCACATGTGCACACACACACACATAAAGAACTCAGAAAAAATTACTCCACAGAAGGCTACACAGAGACTGAGAAAAGTATACACAGGAAAGGTAGTCCTGGAAGACTCAGCCAACTGGGAAAGCAAGCACTCCAACACAGGTAACACCTGCCTAAGGTACCTCCCCCTTCCTAGCGATGTACACAGCATTTTGTAATCATCTCACCAGAAGCCTCATTTACAGAGGCCTAAGCCTTACGACGTCCTAAACCTCTAATAGCTCCCAATTTTATCTTTTTGTAATGCCATCTCGTGATTTCCCGTGCAACCCTATTATCTCAAATATGAAAGAGAACAGACAGAAGGGTGCCACAGAAACATGTCACAAAATAAAATTCCAAAAACCTATATGCAGTTACCATGAGGACACCTGAAAGTGACTCTTCTTTGAGGAGCTGTAGTCATGCTTTATTCTTGACCCGAGCACTTTTCTTTCTATTCTGATACCATCTCAGTTTTGCTACACACTAGCTAGTCCTGAAACTCCTTTCTGTATTGAAGCCATGAATCCTGGGTTTGCCTGGGTCAAGGTCCATAAAAGAGTAAAGGAACTCAGTCTGCTATGGGGCGATGAACTTCAATTAGTATGCAGGGAGAATTAATGCAGATGTCATTAAGCATATGAAAATTTAGTCATAGAGAAATGCAAATTAGAACTACACTGTTGTGTCATTTGTTACCTATCAAACTGGAAAAGAAAAAATTAAGAAATGCTACATAATACTTGAATCAGACTTCAGGGCAGCCAGTGAGCTCAGACGCTGCTGCTGGGCACGGAAGATTGTACAAGTCCATATAAGGGACTCTGGAAACTTGAAACAACACTACGTATTTACCTTTGAACCTTAAGTCACTTTCTAGAAGTTTATCATACAGATAGAGAGTCACGGAGTGATCTGTGTAGCAGTACATACTGTCAGGCGTATGTACGAGAGAGGAGTGGGCTATGGAGAGGAAATATAGAGAACGTGGGAGAAAAAAGGGTCTGACACATACATACTCTATTACCTTTTACAAAAACACGACACGGCATTTCTTTATTTGTCTTCACTTGTTGGAGATAGGGTCTTACATAGTACTCTGTAGCCTACACTGGTCTATAACTCATGACTTTTGACCTGGAAGAATTTCTCTTCCACCTCTGAGTGCTGGGAAAACAAGCATCCTGCCTGCCCAAACTGTATCCCTTTTTTTGTTTGTTTTTTCAAGACAGAGTTTCTCTTTGTAGAAACTGGCTGTCCTAGAACTCGCTCTGTAGACCAGAGATCACCTGCTCTACCTCCTGAATGCTGGGATTAAAAGCATACACTACCACTGCTGGCTCCAACTGGATTCTTAAAAGACCAATCCAATGACAACAAAAACAACTAGGACTTAGATTGAGGTGTTTAAAACTCACTCTTGGAAAAGCAGGGAATGTCTGAATTAGTTGCTCTTCCCCAAATTACACAAACAAGCAACAACAACAAAAACAGCCTCTTCATCTCCCACCCTTCACCCCCACCCCCATTTCCCCACTTTTTTTCATTTCTTCCCAAGTCAGACTTTTCTAGAGAAAAATCTAATTTCATGTCTGGGTCAAGAAATGCGTACAGTGCATTTACAACACGCATACCTGAGAGGACCAGAACTGTGTCAGACTCAAGTGCTACTATGAAAAGATGTTCACCACCAAGAGTTAAGAACTAGAACAGAAGTTGTGAGTCTAGCCTTTAACAGCTGAGCCATCTCTCTAGCCCATGAAATTTGCAGGTAAACGGTGAGAACTGGAAAGGATCATCCTGAGTGAGTGGTCCCAGAAGCAGAAAGACACACACGGTATATACTCAATCGTATAGACATATAATATAGTATAAACCTACTAAAATCTGTACATCTAAAGAAACTAATCAAGAGGGAGGACTCTAACTAAAATGCTCAATCCCCATCTGGAAAGGCAAAGAGAATGGACATCAGAAGAAGAATAAAACAGGAAACAAGTTAGGAACCTGCCACATAGGGCCTCTGAAAGGCTCTGCCCTACAGACTATCAAAGCAGATGCTGAGACTTATTGCCAACTGCTGGGCAGAGTGCATGGAATCTTATGAAAGAAGTGGGAAATAGTAAGAGCTGGAGAGGACAGGAACTCTATAAGGAGAGCAACAGAACCAGAAAAATTGAACACAGGGGTCTTTCCAGAGTCTCATACTCCAACCAAGTACCAAGCATAGAGATAACCTAGAAACCCTGCACAGATGTGGCCCATGGCAGTTCAGTGTCCAAGTGGCTTCCATAGTAATGGGAAGAGGGACTGCCTCTGACATGAACTGATTGGCCTGTTCTTTGATCACCGCCCCCTGAGTGGGAAGCAGCCTTACCAGGCCACAGAGGAAGACAATGCAGCCACTCCTGATGAGACCTGATAGACTAAGATCAGAAGGAAGGAGAGGGGGACCTCCCCATCAGTGGACTTGAGGAGGGGCATGTGTGAAGAAGGGAGGGATCGGGAGGGGTGGAGGGAGGAGCTTATGGGGGGATACAAAGTGAATAAAGTGTAATTAATAAAAGTTAAAAAAAAAAAAAAGAACTAGAGCAGAGGAGCGCATGCCTTTGATCCCAGCACTCAGGGAGGCAGAGGCAAACGGATCACTGCGAGTTTGAAGTCAGTCTGGTCTACAAATTGAGTCCAGGAGAGACAAGGCTACACAGAGAAACCCTGTCTCAAAAAACCAAAAACACTACAGCAAAATGAAACATATCAGTTATTTTTAAATCCAAGTTCATAAAAACATAAGATCCCACAAAAGAAACCTCATTTGTTACCTCTGGGCTGTGATAAGCAAGGATCTCTCCCATATCCAAGATCCAACATCTCAAAGCAAATTTAATACTAATCCACAATGAGAAATTTGGTGATTTACCCATACTGGACTTCAATTTTTCTCTCCAACTCAACAAAAGACTAAATAAAGCATAGCGATTGTGTGGCTGGAAACCAGACATTTCAACAACCAAAAGAAAACACTAGGATTCTATTTTAAGCCCATTACTGGTTCCCTGAGTATGAAATGAATCAAGCTGCATTTAGTTAATACAACTGTTGCTTTAACTGGGCACAGTTGGTGTCCTCAGCAATTCTGACTACCTCAGGTCACATGATGGCTCTGGAAGGCAGGGAGAGCCTTCCAAGAGGCTTAGAGAAAGCAACAAGGTAAAGGCTGCCCTCACCATCCAGCAGCCTCAGAACCTCCCAGCCTCTACCCTCCCAGCTTTCCCTCCTTCCATCTCTCTCAAAACCACAGTTAAAACAATTAAGTCACAAACACAGGTCAATGAAATGAGATCCAAGTTTCTCCTGCAGCAAGTTTCTCATACAATTAAACTGCTACCACCACTTTTAACCATCCCCTAAAACTTCCAACCCTGCCTGAAATTCACAGATACGCAAACACACCACAGAAATTACACAAAATAGTCACACTGTAATTCAGACAGCCATTCCTGGCTTTAGATTTACTGGCTAAACTACATTTTATGACGAACTGTTAACTTCTCTGGGTTTGTGCAAACATAACAATGTTTTAATAGAAGATTTATTTCATTCAACTGTTATTATTACTCTACATTTGCATACCTGCACTTAGCAAATGCCCACAAGGTGCCTAACCTTGTGCTGGGAGAACTCCCAAGAACACACAAGTGAAGAGAGCTGGCACAGTCACCAGCAAAGCCAGGTGAAAACCTCAAGAGGCACTTAAAGCCCTTCTGAGAAAAAGAATCAGACTGAACTTTAAGATAACATTCAAGTTAAAAAGATAATTTAAAAATCCTTCCACTTAGTCTCTCACCCCATAAAATGGTCTTGCCACAAACTGTATATACTTGTAAACATTAAGTAATCGTGATTAAAGATATCACTTTTCCCCAATATCTAGGTTCTAAATGGTTAATTCTTCACAATTACAGAATGTCACTTTTGTACTTTTTCTAATACAAGTTAAATTACCTGTATTAGGAAATTTCAACAGAAAATCTGAAAACCTAAGGAACTATATAATGTAAGCATTACATTTAGTAGTTTTAGTGTTTGAATTTTAAAGAGGGAAGCAGAAAGCAGTAAGAACAGCAGCAAAATAAGAAAAGTTGACATGAGCAGCCTGTTTGGCTCCTCAATCTTTAAAACAGTTTAAAGTGGCCATTCTGCATGTCCTTTATGGCAAATGCTTCATCTGAGGAAGGCACAGGGCGGGGGGGTCAGGATCTTGTGCACGCTAGGTAGGCACTACTGCTGGACCACAGCCCCAGGCCTCTGAATGATCTTTCTGCGACTAAGAGCTCTACTGGTCAGAAAGGTATTCCTGAACACACACTCAGATGCACTCAGATATGACACTTGCTCTCTGACTCCATAATCTCTCTGGTCCTGTTTCCTTTACCTTATTCTGCACTTAAACTGCCCTCTCTCCTTTTTTTTTTCTTCTTTTCTTCCATCAGAAATTTGATATAAAAAATAAGATGTAAGACAGTAACACCATCGTAGCTTTCCAGTTACCTGTTGTGCAAGACTGCTGAATGGCCAAATCTATTGACGTCATGGTGGAGATCAGGTCTGGGGAGCACTGACCATCGGTCACAAGCTAAGGGAAGAAAAACACATTTCAGAGTATTGTCATTGACAGTCAACTAGAACTGACAGTCTTTAGAAAGAAGAATACAGGCTAGGTGTGACGGTGTAACCTTTAATCCCAGCACTCAGGAGGCAGAGGGAAGATGACCTCTGTGCATTCAAGGCCAGCCTGATCTACAGAGTGAACACCAGACAGACAGGACTACAAAGAGAAATCCTGTCTCAAAAAAACAAAAAAAGAAACAAATAAGAATGCAGCAAACACAGCCTCATAAAACAAGCTTTTCTACCTTTTAAATTATGCAATTTTGTGTAAAGGACAGCAGCAACAGCAGCAGCAATACTTCAGGGCTTTGAAGTAAAAGAACTGCACTGAAATGCTAATCAATGAATGCATTCAACACCCACAAATCTCCTACTGACTGTCACTACTCTCCTGTCTACCTGTTTTACCCACCAGAATGTCTGCTTCAGTCTTTTTCTTTCTCCTTGTGGTGCTTCAGATCAGACCCGGGGCCTTGTGTCTAACAGGCAAGCACTCTACTGCTGAGATGTGTTCCCAGCCCACCACAATATTTTCTAACTTGAAAATGTTTAATACTAGGCATTGGGACACACAGTTCTAATTGTAGCACCTGGGGAGGTGGAGACAGAAGGATCAGGAGGTCAAGGAGAGCCTCAACTGCAACTACACAGCAAACCAGAGGCTTTTACAGATAAGCCTTAATAACCATTAACACACATCTCACCTTTGCCATTCCTCAGCTTCCTGCAACCCAAGTTACAGTAAAGGACGTCTCTGTCGATAAAGCTGAAGGATTCTCCAGCCCTTATTTCTAGCCCACTCTTCTGGCCATTAACTGTATCTCACAGGTCATCAATCTTACCTCTTATCTCCTGCTTCTCTGACATACTCTTTACAGTCTCTTCTTGTTCAGACTTTGTTCTCCAACTGTCTGCTCATCTTTTATGGCCCCACAATAGCTCAGCTCTCCTACGATCTCCTCTCAGCTCTCAGCTCTGTCCTAAAGACATCTCTAACTGGACATACCTGACGCTTACTTCTCTTCTTCCCAGATCCTATGCCATTATTATAATAATCCTTGTTTTAGTTTGTTTGTTTTTATTCAAGACATGGTCTTACTGGATAGCTCAGACTGCCCCAATCTTGCCATACTTCAGTCTCACCCTAAGTACTGAGATTATAGCCATGTGCAGTCATGTCCAGCTGGTTTTCTCTATATCTGCTTTCAGTTTGGGAGGAAAGGGCACTTATATTTCTCTCAGGACACACAACAGCCAGGTGTCAAAAGTCATCATTGCTATTTCCATTGCCATGATTTAAACCTCATTGGGACTGCTACAGCAGCAGCTTTCTAAATGTCCATATGTCCCTTCCAAATCACTTATAACAATGCCACACAAGAGATCTTCCTACCTGGGCATGCGGGCCCATAAAGACAGAAGTAGGAAGGTTACCATAAGTCTGAAGCCAGCCTGGACCATAGTGTGAGGCTCAGACTTACAAAAAGGAGAAACAAAAACGTAAAACACCCACAAACAAAAATAAGTGTCAAAGATACACATGATTCTATTGATTTCACTGGGAGACTTTTCAAAAGACCAGTGGCCCTATTTGGCATTCTGCATCAAGTTTCTCAAGATCTGAACAGTCTAGTCTAACAGCTACCTGCTACCCTTGTGCTACTATGACAGAAAAAAAATAGCAGTTCAAAAGTCCTAAATATTTGCTGTGTACTTTTCCCACCACTGGGTCTCTGCACGGAGCTAGCCCTGCTTGGGAGGTCTACCTGACCCCAGTGTTCTTCAGGGCCAAGTTTGGATGGTTTCTCCTCAAGAGGCTTCCCTGACCGTCTTTCTCAGCCCAGTGGCTTAGGAGTGCTCAGAGGTAATCTCACATCTTCCTTTCAGCAAGAACCGTCCTGAATTACAATTACATTGTCTTCTTATTTCAGTTTCCCCCAGCTTGAAGCTAAGGACTAGGGTGTATCCACCATCCTCAGTCTGAAGCCCAGTGGTCAGCACAAACGCATCTGTTAAAAACAAACCCCTGGGCTGGCGAGGCAGCCCTGAGGTTTACAACACTCACTGCTCCTCAGAAGCATTTGCGTACAGTTCCCACCACATGGAGGCTCACAAAAGTCTGTGACTCCAGCTCCAGGGGATCTAAGGCCTACTTTTGGCCTCTACAGGCACTGTATACTCATGGTACACTTAAGGTAATGCAGGCAAAACACTCATACACATAAAATAAAAATAAACCCCAGCTTAGACTAGTCAAAATCATAGAGACAATCAAAGAAAATGATTTCAAGAGGCTGGAGTAAGGATGAAGAGAGGCACTCTTGCTGTTTTCTTTTTATTTGGCTGGAGAGACAGCAGTGGGTGCTGAGAACTGAACTCTTATATTTATGGTTGTAAACCTAGCCTTTAATGGCTGAGCCATCCCTCCAGCCCAAGGAACTCTTGTTTAAAGACAAAGTTTCAGATTCACAAGAAGACAGCATGTAGACGGTGCTACACAATGAATAACATTATGAATATATTTAGCTCACTTAAACTACTTAAGACATTCAGATGGTGAGTGTTACTCTGTGCATTCTGCCACAATAAGAATAATTTTTAAGATGAATATCCAGCTAGGTGTGGTGGCACACACCTGTGATCCCAGCACTCAGAGGCAGAGGCAGGAGGCTCTCTCTCTGAGTTCAAGGTCAGCTTGATCTACATAATGAGCTCCAGGTCAGCCAGAGCTACACAGTGAGACTACCTCAAAAAGCAAAAACAAAAACAAACAAAAAGAACATCTGATGGTATTTACACAAAAGGACATTCGGTGTTCATTTTCCAGAAACAAACAAACACTGCCCTCTTCTGGCCACACTACAGTTACATCAAAAGCATGTGAAGCCAGATTTCTAGGAAATAGCATACTTCATCCAACTTAACATAATACAACTACACACGGCCACTACATAACGCATTTGTAAGAAAGAAGATACTAGCCTTAAAAAAAAATGCAAGCACTTAATAAGAGTGATTTCAAAAAAAATTTAATGTAGTTTAATGTAAGCTTTTCAATAATGTATAACCCTACTCAAAAAAATACAAATTCTACCACTTGGACTTCTTTCAAATGGTGCAATTATTTTAACATAGTGATATTTTCAATCCTCATAGGCAAAGAAAATATTCCTGAAGCTAAAACATCGTTGGAAAACTTACCAATGTCATAAGCCATGAAGTCCGAGGAGAAGCACTTGGCCCCGTGGCTCATGGATGTGTCGTTGTGCGTGTTCCCTCCAAACACCAGCATGGTTCCACTCACTATCACAGCTGTATGCAAGTAACGGAAAAATCGGCTGTCCTTAAGAATGGTCCTTTTGAGTTTATTTAGAAATAATAAATACAAGGTTAGTTTTAGAAGAACACCTATCTGCCAATTTAAATGTAATTATTTTATAACCTCAATATCAAATGTGTAATACTTGATTTTCCCATATATATAAGCTACTTCCTTATAAACATCTGTAAGAATTTTGGGAAACTATATTAAAAGTCCTAAAATGTTCGTATCCTGTGGTTCTATACTTCCAGTAAAGCATTTCAGGTGAGAATTATATACACTATAGATCAAAATTTATGCTCAATGTTTTATTAGTAAGGCAAAAGCTAGAGATCAGAACCCCTAACTGCAGAGGATCAGTGGTGTCACTAAAGACAGTGATCTCCAGGACAATGTAAAATTACCTCCATAGCATGGTCTCTAATGTATGAGAGAGAGAAACAGGAAGGAAGGGGGGAGGAGTAAAGGGAGGGAGGGAGAGAGGGAAGAAACAAAGGAGGGAGGGAGAGCAGGAGTGAAGGAGCGACAAAGACTGACCAGTGCTTTGTAATTACATCATAACTCAAATTAATTTCCATTTGCTAAAAGTAACATACTCTTTTACAGGCTGAGCTACAGTTCAGAGGAAAACTCTATTACTTAGGCATGAGAGCATCGTGTTTGATGATTTAAAAGGAAAAAACCATCAAATGACCCCAACAATGACACTTTGCTCATCAAGACAAGGTAAACACTACATTACTGATAGTATAGTCTATTCACGTGCAAGGCCCTGGGTTTGATCCTCAACACCAGAAAGAAAAAAAGAAAGGATATGCTTTTGCAGTTTGTATAAAATCAGCACAACTTTATTCCTGAGACTTTTGAGAAGATGAACTCTAGAGTTCAGTGGACGGTATCAGTCTAAAACGCTAAGCACTTTCTAACTATCCTAAGAACGGAGAAGCTAACAGACAGTAACAACAAATACTGCCCTAACTCTATTACTGTATTACCTAACTTTGTCACATACAGTGTTGAACAGAAAGCAAGCCATAGCACAGTATTTTCAATCAATTGCCTCTCCAAATTCTATACCATGAAGGGAGAGCTCTAGGAAAAGCACCCACCACATCTGGGTGTCCACATCATATCTATAGAGGTCATCTGCAAGCCGGTATTTATTGGCGCTGAAAGCCTTGTAGCCACCGTGAACATACAGGGCCTTGGTCCTGTGATCATAAACACTGCTGTGGCCATAGCCCCCTTGCACAAGAGCACCCTGAGTGTTTAATATACTCCATGTGTTCTTTTCTGAAAAAGAAAAGACAGTTCAAGTCAATGTTTCAGACTCCTCTTATTCTAATAAGTATTTACACATTAGTTTAAAGTCTAAACAGCTTAGAGGAAAAAAAGGAAGTTCAGGATATACTTCCATCTTCTTTATAAAAAGGCCATCTAGCCAAGCCTGGACAGTGCCAGCCTATAGTACCTAGTATAGTTCCAGGTACTAAGTAAATGAGGCAGGAGGATGACAAGTTCAAGGCCTCCCTGGACAACTTAGTGAGACCTTGTCTCAAAATAAAAAGTTCTGGGGACATACCTTTATGGTGGTATTGGTCTAGTATACACAAGAACCTTGGGTTCAATCCCCAGTACAATAAGTAAAAATAAAAAGGTGGCAGCCATCTAAAACTTACAAAAAGCCAGGTGGCCAACACCAGTCTGCAAAACAGTGTGATGTTCTAACACACTATAGAGGAAAAAAGTTCATGACACTTAAAAGACTCAGATTGTGAGGTCAGGGAAACGTGGAAGAGGGAGGAAGGCTAACCCAAATGAAGTGCTTGAAGAAACTACATAGAAACCTATGACCTTACAATCCAAGTGAAAAGTCTAATTAGAGGGGACAGTAACGCACAAGCGATATGAAAGACGTGGTGGCGTATGTGTGGCGGGGGTGGGAGGGAGCCAAATGTGTAAGTGGGGACAAAAGGCGTGTTGGAGAAGGAAGGAGCTAGGTTAATGAAAACTAAGAATACATGGAGAAGCCTTATGAAAGCCTGCAAGTCTGTGTGCTAACTGAAAGTCTCAGGTCACAGGTTACCTCCCTGAAGGTGACTGGTCAGGGAGGAATCTAAAAGAATAGAGGCTATTACCATGCTTTTGGTTGCTCACTGTAACTAGATGGTAGAATCTCATTGCTGAAGCCTGCACATTTTGGTTGCAGGCTATGGAGAGATCAGTTCTGAACTGACCGAGGAACTCCATCCCTGCAGGTAGCTGTCATAGTGCTGGAGGGTGTTCTGCAGGCTGCTGAAGTCATCAATGGTCTGGCCTACCACTGGACCCTGAATGTTCCAATACTGACTTGAAAAGCAAAGATGTACCCACTAGTGCAATGGTACCAAGACTGTCCATGGGGGTGAACACCACTCTGAGTTAGATTTGAGGGCCACTCTACAGGAAGGAGAGAATTCATGCATGGTACAGTAAGCCCACTCAGAACTCGCAGCTAGGGAAGTCAGAGCCTCAAGGTTGTCAAACTGCCTTCTAAATACTTGTGTTTATGTAGAGAGATTTGTGGTCAGAGAAGCTTCTTAGTGTATTGTAGTGGTTAATTCAAAGTTCAAGTTCAAGTGTGGTGAGTGCCCAACCACAGAATGGTATTTATCAACCTCTACCCTCAAGACTCGGGGAACATCTCAGAAAGATGGTAAGAGCCTGGGAATAGGGGGAAATGCTGTGAAAGCTGTTCTCTGAACGTGATACGGCCATAGCACTTGTGGATAGCTGCACAGGAACTACAAAAACTTAAGCATCTTAAAAATTCCGGCAGATATCAGGGAGGAGCTGCCAAGACCCCGCCTACAACTGAGAAGCTACTGGCAGTGGAAGGCTGCTGGACGAGGGAGTCCTTGTTCTTTGTGGGCAGATTGCCGCGGGATGCCCCAGTGGATGACCCACAACTATGCATGTGAGCAGCACTCACTGGCTTCGGTGTGTTCACCCTCCCCTCAAACTGAGGACATGAGGCTGGGAAGAAGGTGGGTTGGGGGCGAGCCGAGGGAGAGCCGGATGGGGAACCGGGTGGTGGATATGGTCAGGACACGCTGTACACAGGTATGAAACTTTCAGGGCAAATTTCTAAAGACTCAGATTGTTAAAATAAATTTTAAAGATTCAAAGTTCTCTTAAGTATACATATAATTCCCTATGACCTTCAGTGATTCTTTATGTTTTTGAATGTACTTTAATAATCTTTATAGAAATACTTCTTCAAAATTTCAATTCTAACTGACATTCCTATTATACAATGAAAAAATAGTAAAATTTAATACAAGAAAAGATTAAACACTAAGGTAAAATAGATTGCTTTAGGCCGACATCTAAAGGACTATCCAAAATTATTTTAGAGTGCTTATTGTTTTTCATTATGCATATTTTGATAGCCAAAGAATTTAGTGCTATCCTTGGCTCTTTGCAAACTGACAGTAACAAGTTTTTATTGCACCGGGTCATCAACAACCTGAATCCCCAGTTAGCTATTGATATTAACTATTTCAAGACGAAGTACTGGATCAAGGTTAAGTTGACTTTGTTAACTATTCTAATAATAACGGTAGGGGTTTTCAATCTGATATTCAAGATACATCCACTGGAAAAAATACATACCCAAGTCATATTCCTGCACAATGCTTATATATCCGTAGAGTGGGCAATGGCCGAAGACGACCAACATGACCACACGGCCAGTTGCCAGGGTCACAATGTGTGCTGAGTGTCCAACTACTGCATACTGCTCCTTTGCTTTGGGGGTCAGCAACACCCATGACTCGTTATGAATATGAAGTACTCTCAACTCACTGGTCACATTCCCTGTTGAATCAATTTTTCCTCCATACATGTAGATTTTATCCTACAAGAAAGATGAAAATAGGATTTTTTAAACCATTAAAAAAAATGAAATTAGGGCTGGAGAAATGGCTTAGCAGTTAAGAGCATTTGCTGCTCTTGGAGAGGATCAGAGTTTTAAAATTCCTTGAACCCACATGGCAGTTAACAGCCACTTGTAACTCCAGTTCCCAGGGTGTGGATGCTCTCCTCTTCTGGCCTCTGAAAGAATAGCATGCACAGACACACATACAGGCAAAACATGCACACACATAAAAAAAAATAAATATATCCTTATAAAAGTTGATGTCTGAGAAAAGAAAGTGATTGGTTCACACTCTCATTCTTATTCTTAGCTTAAGAAAGATGAGTAAAATGTACTTTTCAGTAAATTATTAGGACTAGAATAGAGAAAGAACAAAATAAAATAAATCACATTATTTATCTCTCAAAACACCTTCTTCACATGAGATGTTTTACAGAATAAAATGACTTGGAAAATAAAGTTGCCTCATCCTACAACATATGCACAAAAACAAGGAAATGAAAATGATTACTCAGTCAACACTCCAATGTGGCTAAACTTGCTAATGTACATGAAACTCACTGATACATTTTAATCTTCATTCTTAACTACTTGGCACTGTGATCTTAGTATCCACTAAACACCATGGATTAAAACAGTTTAAATTTCAATTTCCAATTACAACTTGGTAAATTATAAACCTACATCATGTCAAACAATTTCACATCATTAAAACCAAAGCTGAAGAGCTATCTGATGACATAAAGCAACAGGCAGAGTTGAGATTCTTGCTTGGTAAAAAATTGAGACGGTTTACCTTATATAATGCCAAAGAATGACCGTATCTCACAACCACACTGTTCACAGAATGGTTTAGTGGAAGCCATTCCCTAGAAGCCAGGTCATACCTACAAAACAAACAGACCATATTTCACCCAGATGACCAAAGAAAACATCTTGTATTCTTCTATGTCTGATAAGATCCAGTTCAGAGATTTTCAGCAAGCCAACCAGGGATCTAGGGAGGCACATGCTATTCTGGCAAACATACCCGATACCTGGGCCCACTGAGCATGTGAGAACTAAAAGGGGTGGTCAACTACACACCCTGGGATAAGACAAACATAGGCTGCAAGGTTCTATAGCTTCCTGCAAACCTCCTCGACATAACAACCTAAGCCACCTGAAGTTTGTATTATAAAGGGACTTAATAATTAAGCTCACAAAAATTTTTACTCATTTAATAATGGCAAACTGAAGGTAAGTATTGAAAAGGGAATAATAATTAAAAGAAAGTAACTGAGCAGTTAAGATGCTCTCAGTGAGTAAAGTGCTTGCTGTACAGGTCTGACCACGTGAATTCTATCCTTGGGATGACATGGTAGAAGAGAACAAACGTGTATGCAATAAGCGTGTGCTCACACTGGAGATCTAGGGGGAGTGGAAGGGAGAACTTGGAGTAGATAGTATCATGATTTTATATAAATAAATATATATCTATGTATATATATATATATGAATGAAATTTCCAAAGAATATTTTTAAATTATCAGTATTTCTTTTGATTTAGTCTTTTACTTAAGAAAGCTAAAATACAACTATAACATTTCAATCATAGGGTAAATGCAGTTAAAAATTCTAAAATGCAAAATCAGCAAAATGAAAGTATTTACAGGGCTGGAGCAATGGCTCAGTGAGTAAAGTACCTGCTGAGCAGGTGTGCAGCTCTAACCTCAGAGCCTTAGTGCCTGTATAGAAGCTGGATGTGGAAGCTCCTCTGTGCAGCTCCAATCCCAGCGGTGGAAGGATGAAGACAGGCAGATCCCATGGGGTTTGCTGCCCAGCCAGTCTATCCAAAATGATGAGTTCCAAGTTAAGTGACAGACCCTATCTCAAAACAGTAAGGTGCCCAACAACAGAGGAAGACACCTGATGTTGACCTCTGGTATCCATCCTCCATCCATATGCACAGGACTCAACATATTTGCGTGCTCCACACACAGCCAGAAAGCAGCAGCTCATGCTTATTCGTGCATTACTGAATAATCACAACCAATTAAAACATTCTTTTTTTTTTTTTTAAACCCACTGTGGTAGTTTGAATAAGAATAGCTCACATCTTTGAATTCTTGGTCTCCAGCTGGAGGAACTATTTGGGAAGGATTAGAATGTGTGGCTCTGTTGGAGAACGTGTGGCTGTCAACTGGGAGTAGACTTTGAGGTTGCAAGACTTTCCCAATGTGCCCTTTCTACCTCATTCTTTTGGATAAAGATGTGAGCTCTCTGTTGTCCCTGCCATCAGACCTTTATTCTGTATCACAGACTCTAACCCTCTAAAACTAAAAGGGCTTCTTCCCTTTTTTGTTTGGTTTTGTTTCGTTTGAGACAGGGTTTCTCTGTGTAGCCTTGGCTGCCCTAGATTCGCTTTGTAGACCAGGTTGGCCTCAAACTCACAGCAATCAGCCTGCCTCTGCCTCCCTGAGCATGGGGATTAAAAGCATGTACCATCATGCCTGGCTTTAAATGCTTTCTTTAATAAAATCACTCACTGGAGTTTCAAAGGAATACACTATTTACTCTTAGAATCTATTAGCTCCCTCCTTTGAAGTTGAAAACCTTAGTATTCACATTTCCAATCCCACTTCTTCTCCCAGTTTTGTTCCATAACACACAGTGTCCATGCTCGTAGCATTCACATTCCATTCTGTACCTTCAGACCCATAGTGACTCTGTTGAGTGTGTCAGCTGCAACAATCTCACCACAGTCCTCCTACTATGACTTCTTCAGTCTTCAATTCTTTACTGGTTGCATTTCACTATCAAGTAGTGTCTGGTTGTGAGATCTCACTAAGTGTAGCTTAGGCCCTGGCCTTAAACTTGTGGTCCTCCCACCCAAACATTCTAAGTGCTAAGATTACAGGCATATCACGTCATGCCTTGCTCAAGTAATGGTTAAAAGTAGAGCTATCAGAAGCATTCCTTTCCTGTTCTCTCATGATTAAGAGCACTTACTTGATATCATTCCAGGTGAACGGCATCTTGACCAGGTAAAATACTTATAGCCTTCTATATGCTGCTGCCTTTAAAGTTACAGCTGGTATTCAATGTTGTTATGGAAAGGTCTCAGGCTAGCTTGGAGTTTACCTTCTTTCAGTAGTTAGCTTTTCTGTTTAGACCCTGAAGAATTATCAGTCATCTTCATTTTCTTTCTTTCTCTTCCTCTATCCTGTGTCTCACTGTCTCTATTTCTTGCTTTTTTTTTTTTTACACAAAATTTTATAAAAGTAGAAACGACTCCAGTTGTGTTTTTTTTTTTTTTTTTTTTTTTAACAAAACACACTGAAGAACAAGGCTATGCAACAATAACAAAAACCACTCTTGCCAGGTGCACCACTTCCCCAGCCTTCTCTGTAACTTGTGCAACATTCCTAACACCCATCTGGAGACTTACATTTCTGGTATGCTGGACCCATTACAAGAATGTCCCCACTTGCCACTTTCAGTGGAAACTGTGTTGGTGACTGGTTAGGGCAAAACTGCTCTGTTGATCTGGATTTGCTATATCTTTCTTTAAGACAACTGCTGTGAGTTCTAGGCTAGCCTGATCTACATAGGGAATCCCAGGTCAGCCAGGGCTACATAGTGAGACCTTGTTTAAGAAAGAGAAGAGGCAAGGATATCTGAACCTATCAATTTAATAGACACAAAAGTCTTGAGATGTGAAATCTCTTTGAAAACTGAATTGAGCTCAACTCAGGTAGCATGAGACATATTTGTAAATAAGGACAAGAGAAGTACATTGAAAAGCACTATCACACTTTTACAGAATTCTTACTATGGTTCTGAGGACTTTCTAGGTTTGAAACTACATTCCTACACCTAGTTTCCAAATGTGCCCTATCCACTTGGCATGGAGGTTCTTAATCTGTTCTTAAAGCATTTCGAACCTTATCAGCATGTCAGCTGACAGCCTGTCAGACACTTAAGTGCTGGCATGTTCCCAGCATGCAGGTCAGATGAACTACCAAAACATACTTGGAAAATAGGACACCTTTTTTTTTTTTTTTTTTTTCACAGCACAAAAGAAGCAAATATAAAAACATTAAGAAGGAAATACAGCGTATGAAATTTTAAGGACCAAATAAATTATTCTTCAGAATATTAGGCAATTACTTTTTAGTCCTGGACAAACACATATATGGAGGACCCTCCAGGTGTCACTGCCAAAAGGAAAATGAACTAGAAGAGGCAAGAAGGAAAATTAGATTCAGCACAACTTACCCGGTCTGGTTCAAACTTCTGTAGTCTGACAGCAGGTGGTTTATTTTGTACCTATTTAAATACACTAAAACTTTGGAAGGAAGTTTCCTCCTGACAATTATCACAACAAAGTTTATGGCATGACTACACTGAAACTCCCTTTGTCTTTGGCAAAGTACCTATGACTTCTTCCACAAGAATGGGCTCTATTGACAGAGAAGCAATAGATTAAAGGTTTGGAATAAGGATAATAGCAAACTCTTTTGCAAAGTGCATGGGACCGCTTTCATGAGAATGGGTTCTACTGACTGAGAAATAATGCTCGGTGGTCTGGGAGATTTGGGTGAGAGCTCCCCAGAAGAGCAAAAGATCACCAGGTTATCACACAACATACATTCCAGCCTTCTGGGTGAACACATATCAATTTCTTCCATTGAAGAAAAAGCCTGTGTGTTTAACAATTCTGGTTTCCCTAGTGTTATCTGTAAGTACAAAGACCCTGTATCCTTCCACACGCATAAGCACAGGAATGCAGGAATCAGAAACAAGAAACAAGTGTTTTCTATAGAGATGGCCAGCAACCCAATGAGCATCAGTGAGGTCCAAGAGCTGAAGCTAGGGTAGGAAAATCTCAGGAAGCCCGAAGACTAAAGGAAATTTGCAGAGCCACTGACACAAGTAACATCCTTTATTCACTCTGGGCAAAATGTATATTTATAAAAAATTCACATGAAAGTAGCATTTGTCAGAAATAGTTAATAACAGATTTTATCACTTTGAATTCCCAGATATCCAATGTCAGCAATGTATACCTGACTCGTGCTTCCCCAAATGACCAGTGCACCATCTTTGGCCCATTCCAGACATCCAATTGACACCAGCTCTAAACCTTAAGTGTCTTTTCATTCCCTTCACCATCAGACTACAGGGCACATACTCCACCTTCTACAATGGCCTGGCAACCCACTTACAGAATCTGACCAAAATCCAAGCAAAGGTTCTTCAAAGAAAGGATGTACCACAGCCAACAGAAAGTACCAAACCACCCAGGGCTTCCCATACAATGATCTGTTCTTTATCTTAAAAGTTCAAGAACTTGATCACATCTGGTCTTCTTATTGAGAAAATGCTGCAACGCTCTCCTGATACACCTTGTGCTATTTCAATCCACTTATTACTTGTAGTTCTTTTTCCTTGGGCAACAGTGTATTACCTCCTGTCTTACATGTATGTTTGTTTTTCTCTACCTTTTCAACTATTTTCTCTGAATTAACTGGAATTATCTCAACCCACGAATCATTCAGTTCCTAGATTTTGCTCAATCTGATTTATTCCTGTTTCTTTAGGTCTAAAAAACTTCCTACTTCACCTCAAAGTCTTTCGGCTTCATGCTGAATTCAGATCTAAGCTATCCACAAAACAAGCAGGAGGAAAGGTCTCCACGAATAACTCTTCCTCCCTTTAGCATGGCGGCTGGTGCAACTCACCTCTATGTCCTCCTCCTTTACTTGGCTGAAGTCGTATAAAATGCAGGGGCCCAGATAAAGGTTGTGCAGTCTTTTGGAGTAGAACACCCTGTCTGTACTTTACTCAGGGTCTACAGGTCCTACTGGAGTGCACACTGTCGTGCCACTGAGACAGAAGCTGT